AATAAAAAAAAAAGTACCTGACCAAGGATACACCTGGCTAGAAGGTGTCTATACAATACTTTCAAAAGGTTTACTACACTTCTAAATCAGGGCATTTGTCACCAATGATTAGTGCAATTTTAAGATCCTGTTTTTGTTTTTTATTTTAATTTTGTCTTCTATTTGTAGTAAAATTTGATATATGTAGCTATCTAAGACTAAAATAAGTCACAGAATTTTAACTTCACAGCAGGCTTTAAGTAGAGAGATTGAATTCTCAAAATTCAAATTTAGATGCCTAAAAAAAAATAGCACCATCAGGGTAGGCATATGTAACAGATTACCAAATAATTCAAGCCTTATGAATTTTGAGTAGAGGAATTTTTTTAAAGTACGTATTTCTTTGCCATTTAGTATTTTAATTGAAAATTATCCTTATCTCATTTATACAAAAAGGTAATCTGGAACGAGATGGATAGAATAATTTGCTTGACTGTAGTTTCACCACATATGTGTATATCAAAACATCATGTTGTACACCTTAAGAACATACAGTTTTATTTATTTATTTATGTATTTATTTATTTATTTTTTGAGTTGGAGTCTCACTCTGTCGCTCATACTGGAGTGCAGTGGTCGCTCTCGGCCACTGCAGCCTCGATCTGCTGGTCTCTGACGATCCTTCCGCCTCAGCCTTCCAAGGAGCTGGAACTACAGGCGCGCGCTACCACGCCCGGCTAATTTTTTGATTTATTGTAGAGATGAGGTCTCGCCAAGTTGCCCAGGCAGGTCTCGAACCCGCGGTCTCAGGCAATCCACTCACCTCAGCCTCCCAAAGTGCTGGGATTACAGGCTGAGCCACCGAGCCTGGCTCAGAATATACAGTTTTAAAACAGAAAAGAAAGTGGTCTACATTTCTTATAAATGTAGTTCACACATGCAGTATAGTACATGTTAACTAAGTGTTCTGAGAAAAAGCACCTAGTTACCATCCATCATTATTTAGAAGTCCCTACATCTCTCACTCCTACACTGTAATGATGTCACACGGTGATATATGTAACTGTAGTCTCAACAGACTAAAATAACAACCGTGGGATTCTAACTTAACAGGCTGAGTAAACTGTGATAAAAACAGATTGCAGCATTCTTCAAGAAAAGAAGATCCATTTTAATATTCTCATTTTGAAGAGATATTTTTTTTTTAGTTCTTTAAAATGAAGAACCTGATTGCAAATCTTCGAACTAAAAACTTGCTCCATTCTAGGGCATATAAGACTATCAGTCCAACTGAGGGGACAATGAAATCATTTGCCCAAAAGTATATTTCTTTGTCAAGGGTCGAGTCACAATTAGATCTAAGGTGTCCTGACTTCCAATCTAATGTTTCTTCTCTATCCCTTCTCTCCCATTAGTTTTTACCATCTGATAAAGAACTGGAGTTGCTTGGACCTGCTTAGACTTTGTTTAATGTTTTAGCCTGCCTAACATTACCCCTACCTGCCACCCCACTTCTTTCCTGCTACTGTCTTGTTGGCAAACCTTTCTCTTGCAAGTCAGTGTCCCTTTGTTTCTGTTTCTGGTGAATCACACCACCATTGGACACCATGATGGTGCCTCCCCACTGCCTTTTGAAAGCTTGGTTGTTGGCTCAGGACCTAACCTCTTCTTCTTTTTTTTTTTTTTTTGAGTTGGAGTCTCACTCTGTTGCCCAGGCTGGAGTGCAGTGGCACACTCCCAGCCACCGTAGCCTCTACCTGCTGGGCTCCAGCGATCCTTCCGCCTCAGCCTTTCAAGTAGGCGGAACTATAGGTGTGCACTACCATGCCCAGCTAATTTTTTTGATTTATTGTAGAGACGCGGTCTCGCGAAGTTGCCTGGATGGGTCTCAAACCCGTGGTCTCAGGCAATCCACTTGGCCTCCCAAAGTGCTGGGATGACAGGCTGAGCCACAGAGCCTGGCCTCTTCTTTCTACTATCAGGCCAAAGCATGGGCAGCAGTTTATCAAGAATGCAGGGCTGGAAGTCAGGATGGAGAAGACCAAGGTTCTAGTGAGGTACTTAGTGCAGAATTGAGCTGAACAGAGAATTTGGACCTGGTGATTTTTTTTTTAAATCTATAAATATAACCTCTTTGGACCTCTGCTTGTCCTCTCTAAAATTTGGGGATCTAACACAAAGATCTTTAGGATTCCTTTTAGCTCTAACATTCTAAAATTCCTTTTAGCTCTAAAATTGTAGAAGTTTAGAATTCTAAGAATTAAAAGAATGTAGGCTTTTGAATTTTTTGTTGCTGTTTTTCTATCAGCAAAATGCTAATTGAGGGCCTGCCACGGAGCCTGTGTTTGCTGGTTCTGTGAAGCACGTAAGAGAAAGTGGTTGTAAGCTACATGGGAGGAGAAAATTAACAGAAACCACTAGAGAGCAAAACAAAGACTATAAAGTCTGTGAAGCATGAACTAAAAATGGAGTAGGAGTTGGAAGGAGAAAGATCACTGGGCATCAGAAAAATGACAACACTGGTGACCCAGGCTGGCCAATAGGTGTTTGACAGAGGAGAAGAAGAGTTCAGGAAATATGTGAATCCAAATTTTAAAAATCTCCTGCGTCCTGTGAGTTCTCTTCTACTTTGATCTCTGGATCAACAGATTCTGAGTTTATCTGTTGCTGTTATTTGAGGGTCCTGCTAGCCCAGGTGGCAGTTAGCTTGAGGAAAATATCTTCTTTTTTCTTCTTTTCTAATGTGCAAAAAGCGTCTGCTTGTGACGTGTGAGATTCCCTGGCCAAGAGCAAAACTGACATTTTACTGGTCCCAAGGTGGTTGTTGAACCAATTATTTCAATTCTCATTTTGTATGTCCTTGGCAACCAGAGCTTGAGAGTCTAAAAAAGGAAGGAAAGCATTATCGGTTGGAAGCATAAGAAAGAAATCCGTCTGAGCCACCACTCCAAGTCGAACGTTCTCACAGTGCTAGAGAATGTAAGGCATGCCAAGAGGAAGGGAAAAACATTGATCTCGGTTTTGAAAACCAGAAGAGGGTGTACGTGACAGAGCGAGAGAGATATTCACATATGTTCATTTCTCTCTTTCTCCTCTCTTCATAACGCTCTCCTCAGCCGAACACATGCACATGTCTCCCCTTCCTCACTCATTCAAATACACAGATGCACTGATGCTCAGCAAAACCCCTAAACCCCAGTGTATAAAGATATTCTCATGCACCGATACATCCATAAGGATATTCATTCTCACAACTACATCCATTCGATGCAGCAAACATGGGTGCCTGTAACATACTATACAAATACTTGACACTGGAGACATCAAGATGAATAAAACAGCTGGACCTGGTAGCTCACGCCTGTAACCCCAGCGCTTTGAGAGGCCAAGGTAGGAGGATCGCTTGAAGCCAGGAGTTTGAGGTTAGCTTGGGCAACATAGCAAGACCTCACCTCTACAAAAAATAAAAGAATTAGCTGAGCATGGTGGCACTTGCCTATAGTCCCCGCTATTCAGGAGCCTGATATGAGAAGATCGCTCAAACCCAGGATTTCAAGGCTGCAGGGAGCTATGACTGCCACACTGCACTCCAACCTGAGTGACAGAGTTTCTGACCTCAATAGTTTATAATAATAAATCTATACATATTAGCATTCAGCTGAAAGCCCAGAGGTACACAAACACAAATTTTTATTTTATTTTATTTTATTTTATTTTTTTGAGTTGGAGTCTCACTCTGTCGCCCAGTCTTCCGGCCACTGCAGCCTTGGCCTGCTGGGCTCTAGCGATCCTTTTGTCTCAGCCTTCCAAGTAGCTGGAACTACAGGCGTGCG